GGGTTCGGGCAATCTGCGCATGCGCAAATTGCTGGACAGCGCGGCTGGCGAGCGGGGCTTGCCGCAGTTCGGCGAGCCCTGGTGATACTTACTGGTTAACCTTTCACATCCCTACTTTGAGCTATAAATTCTTCAGGGCAGAGGCCAGCCTTTCAACTACATTTAACCTCTCATCCCCATTACACAGAGAACCCCCACTACATGGAAGGAAGTGTTAACTCACTTACTCCTTAGTATAGTGGATACAGAAATAGAACGGTTTCCAAGTATCTACTTATTGTCACTATATTTTACAATGAAAGTTGCAATTCATTTTGTGACCCAGTTCCAAAAGGGTGCAACTCACCTGCAGTGACTTTACATGGAGAGACTCCATGGTAAGTCATTCTACAGAGGGTACAGAAGGCATGGTTGCAGCTGGAACATATGCCCATGGTGCAACTTGGCTCTTGCATCACTGGCGTCTGACAGCATGGACGAGGACAATATACCACGTCTGCCATCAAGTCCAAGCTGGACTGCAGAAGTAGACGGTCATAACGTGCAAACAACTCCTCTCCAACCAGTTCCTTAACCTAAACAGAAATCAAACAGCATTACATTTCCTGGATTTGGATGTTCAATCTATTAGCTCTGATAAAAAAAGGTTTTATTCTAGGACATGAGTATCAACAACTAGTTTGAATATGCGTTAGCATATTTTAAACATTACTCTCATTCTGACCTGGAGATTACTACAATAATTAGAGAAAAAGGAAACATATTATTCATCATGCTCTGTAACTAAATCTTAGCTTTGAGCATAATCATCTTAAATATTCTGAATATTCTTAAATATTCACTAGCAATTCAAATCCTGGGCACTGACAGTTTACAGTCCCATAGTGAAAACGATTAGCACAGTCAGTGGGATCACATTAATCCAAACTAGTGTTCAAGACATCTGAAACTAATAGTGTTGCAAAACTGGTGCCAGGTGATTTAATTTTAATTGTAAGTGGCCTCTGAATAGTATGAAATTACTATGGTTTGAATAAAAATCCATTATATACAATTCAGCTTTATTAGTTAGCTAGATATGTGCATGCATTGATTACATACTTCTTCTATTACCTGGCCTGGAGTAGCAACAGAAGAACATTTTGGTTCTGGACAGCTGAGGCAGTGGACCTGACCATCCCTGATCTGAATTTCAAAGTAGTCCTTTAAACAGGATTTGCAGTATATATGCCTGCATTCCATGAAGTACATACACTCACTACCCAGCTTCTCAGAAAAGCAGATGCTGCACAAGAACATCTTACTGTTAAAGCATTTTTTCTGCTGAGCCTGATCAAAATCAAAGATTTCCCTTATCAGACTTGACAGAGACTCCACATCCTGTATAGCTCTTTCATCAAGGATTTCCTCTTGTGTTGTCGTACCACTTGCTGCACCACAACTATCCAGCTCAGAGTTCTGAGGAAACAGAGGTGTCCTGCTTTGCCCATTTTCTTGGTGGCATATTTTTAGTTCATACGGAGAGGTGATGTTCAGGTAAGCTAGTGTTTCCTCTTTAAGAAACTGCATCCAGGCAAACAATACCACACAGCCTCTGTTCTCTTCCCACAAGTTGTCTAAGTGCTTGCATAGTGCAGTAAGCTAGAAAAGAAAAGTTAACATTTTAAACCCAAAAAAAATAGCTACATCTTCCAACGATTCCTAACTCATCTGAGCAAACTTCCCTTTTCATATGGTACCTTCTGAGAAAACTTCAAATTTCAAGTTTAGGCCATAAACTAATTTAGTTTAACAAGGTATTTGCTGCTTGTAGTCATTGGGAAATAATAGGAGAGCACCCCTTTACATCTTTATTTGATTAGTTGCTAAGCTCCATAGTAAAAATCCTCAGTCTACACCTTAGCCTGTATAGAAAACAAAGTGAGCTGCATTACAAAATACTAGAAAATATTACGAGTAATTGTAAAGAAATGTAATTTAGAAATAAAAATCATATGATGTGATAAGTAACTGAGGTAACAGTTCTGTACACTTTGGTGTATGGATTAAATATTATTTGCTTCGAGTTAACCTATCTAAAAATATTTAAACTATGTCTGGTGCCCTAGTCACTCTCCTTCTCAAATTAGTTTTCACTTGCTTGATAATCGGATATCCAACTTTTCCTCTGGTCCACAGAATTTTCCAGGAAAATCAGGGCAGGACAAGGCCTTAACTCCAAAAGTAAAAAAATAAAAATAAAATAAAATGAAAAATTCATTTGGAATAATATCTTGCTTTCTTCATAAATCATAAGGCAGCATAAAGGAACACCTAATTTCCCACCAACTTTGCAGGTCAGATTTAAACTTATTACAAGCCACCTATAATGTTTCCTTTCAAGTGCATAGGTAGGAGTAGGGATGTCAATGTGTAGATGAATACATGATTAACCAATAAACCTTATTGGTTAATCCTGTCAACTACATGCACTTTCCCCCTTTGCTGCCTCTGCATCAGAGGCAGCAAGTGCGGCCAGGGGGAGATCAGGAGTCAGAGCCCATGAGGAGCTTGCTTAAAAGCCAGCTCCCTGTGGGCACCAGATCCGCCTACCTCCCACTCTCTCAGTGGTGCTGCCTCTGTCAAAGGGTGAAGGGGGCAGGCAGGAGCTGATATCTGCAGGGAGCCCCTGTCCATGGGGACTCGAGCTCATCCTTATTATTCTGATTGAACTAAATATAGCACATTTGGAAGCCAATTCAAGATTCAGCCAACTACTTAACTCTGGTTTAGGTATTACGCTTTCTGTGTTTTGTCATCTAATGTACTTCAACAGTGTTATTTTAAACATTAAAATCTGATATACAATAGATATTACATGCCTGCACTAATTCATGAAGCATTAGCCTTTTTGGCTTTTATCATCAAACTTTCTAATGTTGTATACTGAATTAGACATCTGCTGTCTAATGTGCTGTAGCAGAGACCTTTTCCACTTCTACCTGATTTGCAGTGAAATGTTAGTATTCCAGTTTACTAAAATAATTATATAAATTAAATATAGTTAGGATACAAGCATTCTTTTTATCTTGCAACTAACTTTATTTGTCATGTTAGTTCACTAGCAGAGTGTGCAGCGTCTGGTACAGGGCACAAGCTGGAAATCAGCTGATTCCTGGCTCATGCCTGGTCCCTGCTACCCCCTCTGTCTCCCCTGCTTCTCGTGGAGATGGTGATGGGGGGAACCAGCTTTTAAGCCGGCTCCTCCCAGCACTGGCTCCTGCTCTCCCACCCTTGCTAGAGGCAGCAAGAGGGAGGAGGAGAAGGGATTAGTTGAGGGACTAGTGTCACGAATCATGGTTAGTGTGAATGGTTAGCATGAGTGAATCAACAGTAAGTGAGCTGAAGAGAGGCTATGCTGAGGTTCAGGCAAGAGCCCCAGAGGATTATGGACTTATTTACAACTTTAAGAAAAGAACTGTGTGAAATAAAAGAACCGTGTACATGTGCTGAGGCAGTTTTTCCAGCATTTGCAGATAAGAAAAAAAAAGTAACAAGGGAAGAATCTAACCAAGGACAGACCATTGTTTCTCACTCCTGGTGAGACAAGCAAAGTTGGTTAGTACAAAAACCGGCTGTTTCTGGATTGGTCGTGGACACACCAGTAAGAAGAAGGGGGTGTTAGTATCGGACATCACCCCACCTGGATTGTGTGCAACCAGTGGATGCATCCCACTGAACTGGCACCTGCCGAGGGGATATATACCACACCATTTTGCCCCAGGAGTAGGAGTCCATCGATTCGGCATATTAGGCTGACATGCACGTCGGACTTCCACCTCAACCAAATTAACCTGGGCTGCGTCTAGACTGGCAAGTTTTTCCCGCAAAAGCAAGTGCTTTTGCGGAAAAACTTGCCAGCTGTCTACACTGGCCGCTTGAATTTCCACAAGAATACTGACGATCTCATGTAAGATTGTCAGTGTTCTTGCGGAAATGCTATGCTGCTCCCGTTCGGGCAAAAGCCCTCTTGCGCAAATGCTTTTGCGCAAGAGGACCAGTGTAGACAACGCGGTATTGTTTTGCGCAAAAAAGCCCCGATCGTGAAAAGTGCTTTTGCGGAAAAGCATCCGTGCCAATGCCAGTCTAGACGTAGCCCTGGGGTCTGGCCAGCCCCAGAGGGTGAGTGTGTGTTAAATTGGATTAAGAATTAGGCTGCTAAATTGGGTTAAGAATTAGATTTAAATTGTTAAATATTCCATTTAATTGTTGCTTTTAATGCCTTTTTATGCTTGCAATGCCTTTTAATGTCTTTCACTGTTTGTTTTAATTGTTTAAAGTACTAAATATACACATACACAGGGCTCGCCGCGGTTCGCATGCACAGATCATTCTGTGCATGCACAGATCGTCTGAACCTGGCTCTTCTGGGTTGCAATCTACTTACCCCGGGCAAGTAGACTGTATTATTTGTTGAGCCCTGCATATACATATAGTGCTTTTAAAATTTTCTCCTGAATTGCCTGCATTAAACTCATCAAGGGCACAATCTGTCTACTGTGGAACTCTTGTTCTGCGAGCAGGTTATAATACATGGTCAGGAGCTCTGTTTGCTTGACTTGATCACTCGAGCAGCAGGCAGCGCCCTCTTGTGACACTAGTCAACTATCCGATAAGCTTTTGCCTAGTCAACTAGTAGCTTACATCCCTACTCAGAACAACGATTTAAATGAAGAAAAACAAAACTTATTTGAGTTAAGGATCCGAGGCATGCTGGATAAATCTTTTAGTTATTTTTATAGATCAATTGCACTCTTCCTTGCAATTTTGAAACTGAAGTGCCCTCAGTGAAGACTGCTCTCTATCTACACTTGCACCCTGGATTGTTACTTTTGGGTTACTCACAAACGCTGGGTTACTACTTTCTGATGTTTACAAACATTAGAAAAAACAACTTAAATTCTGGGGATATCAATACTAATAGCATCTTTTTAATTTTAATGATCTTAAAATCCAAAGGCTGCTAAAGGGACTATTAAAGATCATTAGCTGCTATTGACAGAACTATGCCTCTCTACAGAGATTTTAAAATATATACTCTTATGTGTTCTTAGTGTTTTGTTCTTCATACTTTTAAATAGTAAAAAAAAAAAAAAAAATATTTCAAGGAGAATGATTGTTCAGAAGGTACCTGAATCTCATGACACATTATAGAACAGATTTTCAGATACAAGCTATATTTGTACAGCATTGTGTTTACAGACTAATATGTATACACTATATAACACACACAGGATATAAACAGAGAAACAGGACATCAAATTGGGATTGGGATTTTCAGAAAGGTCTAACCATAACATTTCCAAATAGGTACTCAAAGATGCAGATAAGCACCAAGCAAGATTTATAAATGTATCTACTACCCATTGAAATCACCCACTCAAATCACATACATACTTATGAAAATATCACTATACATATCTCTACATCTTTAAGTACATTTAAAATGTATAAGTGACTTAGGAACTTAGTCATTTTCAAAAATGATTTTAACATGTAAGAGTCTGTCTCATTGACAGCTAATGGGCTCTTAAATAATGTAAATGCTCTAAAAAAATTACCCTAAATGATTTAGCAGCCTAAAATATACTGATTTTCTATGGGATTTGTGCACCTAAGTAATTAAGATGCTTTTGAAGATCCATCCTTTATCCTTAAAACTCTTGCAGCATGAAGAGAAAAAGATAATTGCCAATAAATAGGGTGCCAATAAAAACTACTATGTACACAAATCATCATAAGTATGTATTACACTTCAAGATACTAGTTGTTTCCTTCAACTGAACTGATTCTAAAAGTGAAGTTCTATACAACTAGATTCTATACAAGTTCCTTCACCTGCTGCATTTACAACTAGTAGCTATGAATTATAAAGAACCTTTGTTATGTTCCTGAAAGGTACAACAAGTGTCAAAAAGATTTTAAACCAAACCTGGGTCCGGGAGAGCCAGTTACCGCTGAGTGTGAACACAGGCGGAGAGGCTGATGGGTAGTCTGATGGGAGTTCAAAATTCAACACAAGTGGAGGCAGAAAGCAAATTGTGTATTCAAACCCATTCTTCTGGAGACACTCTGTGGGACTGCCTGAACCAAAGACAATTGATTGATGCCAGTTAAGAGAGATCAACAGAACTATGATGCTAAGTTTTGCAGCCTAATGAAGTTACTTGGGAACCTACATCAGGTTCCCAAGAAACTGCTTTCATTTGATAATGTTCTAGTTTAACAGCTTTATTCAGACTTTAGTAAACAACATGCCTTTTTAGTGTTACAACATTTCATAAACAATTGTGTGATGGGAGGCTGAATCAGTGAATATTGACTATGTAAGCATTATTATCTATCAGATAAATCACAAACCAGATAACCTGTAAAGACAAATTCTCAAGAATAAGGGTGAACATACTTAAGAAAAGGAACAAGGATCTCTAGTTTATCTATCATTGGCAGTCAGGGGCATAGCCATCCGTGGGCCTGAGTGAGCCATTACCTACACACTTTGCATCTAGGCCCATCCCTACCAGCCCACCCAGCACTTCAGCTGAGGGGCAAGATCGGAATACAGGGGCTTACCCCACGCCGCTTGTCGAGCCAGTTAGGGAAAGGGACCAGGGCTTACACTGCTCCACTCCGGTGCGCTGGCTGCGGAGCTTCTCCCACCCTCATTCTTGCCCACCCACCTGAAGTTGGGCCCTTCTGGTTATGCAACTATGGCAGTTTTCCTTAAGATAAAAAGCTAATTCATATTTGAGAGGTCTTTCCAGAGAAGGGGGTGAACAGAGCACAGCATTGTGTATCTATTACTGTTTCAGTGTGTAATCTTGGGCAAATAACAATTAAGAAGTAAACTGAAGCAAAGGCACCTCTCTGAGTTAATACCCACTTCACAGACTGTGAAGCTTAAAAGAGATACAATTAAAAACAGAATTAAACATAATTTCAAGTCCCTCGGCCAAAAGTTTAAAAGTGTGTGTTTGTTACTTGTTATTCCCGTAGCCAAATTTGGCCTATACAAACAAGGAAAACAGAATTATTGCATATGGGAACCAATGAAGCTAACTACACACGCACTATTGTGTCCAATATAGAATTCAATGCCCTGAACAAATACAAAATAATATTTTCTCAAAGTTGACACTTACAGTAATGCTCAGTGTTACCTGTGATAGTAAGCAATATTTCTTTAAAACATTTTAAAAATGATAATGTACTTTATCTAATATTTCAAAACTCAAGAGTCTTGGGTGAAAGGCACTACAAAAATGCAATGCAATGCAAAAACACACTAGATGGACATGAAAGTAACTCAAATATCTACATCAATTTGCTTCTAGAGTCCCCCATGGAATAACGTAATGTATGACAAATTGTTCCTGACTTTGATGTTTCACGAAAATAAAATAAAAATGTTTGGGGAGCCACCTTTGGAATATATGTATGAAAATATAAAGTATTTTTTTTATAAAAAATCATTTTAGAATAATGAAAAACATCTGGACTCACCACTCACAAATATTTTGAAATTTTGGGGCAACTCCAGACAAATTCTTGTTTCTCCTCCTTGGGCAGAGTCTGCCCTCTTAAATTCATCTTCATCATAAATACTAGCTAATGCCAGCAGCTCATCCTCCTGAGCTTCCTTATCTTCTGAAGACATTTAACTTTTCTGCAGAATTAAGAAACCAACCAAAAAAATCAAGGACTAAATAGACAATTTGAATGGTCTGTGTGTGTGTGTATATATATATAAATGTCACTGAAATGAAAATAAAAAAAACCACAATAGCACAACATAAAAACATACCATACATAATTACTCTTTTTCTTCCAGTTACAGATCCCACACATGCTCTATCATTTGTTGGCAGTTTTAAAGTTCTAAAAAATGGCTCTCTTCAAAACCCAGATAATCAGAGACTAACTCTTAGAAAGTCAACGGCTGAAGAACACTATAGAATGAAATATGTAAGGCAGTGCTAATAGTATCAAGGTTACACTTTATTCATTTGATGAGATGGAAATCGGAGACTGAAGAAAGAAAAAAAATGACAGCTTATGTAGCTGTACCCAGGCTATCTTTAAATAACTTACTAAAGAAGGAAGCGAGGATGTAATAGTGGGCAGCCCAAGACCATTATGGTCCCCTGGCTATGTGCCTGCACTACCAGCCCACACTGCCTTGTTAAACTATCTAGCTAGATGAAAGATAGTGCAGGTACCTCTCTACACTAGGGTTGCAAAAGTTTAACCATTTAACTGGTGGGGCTGGAGCAGCTCTCCACCTGCCACGGGCAGGAGACTACTCCAGCCTTGCAGGGGCTGCTCTGTCCAGGACACCAAAAATTAGCCCTCCAAAAAATCCCTTCCATTGAAGTATTGTCTACATTACAGAAGCACAGATGTACAGCATACATGGATTCAGACTCCTGCAACACTTAGTGCTTGTCTTTGCTGCAGTTAAGACTTAGTTATAACTCAAGTATTGCCCCTAATCCAATACCTGACCACACACAAAAATCTTAAGTGCAGTGACACTTTGAACTCAGGTTGGCTGGCTGGTCAGGGGAGTGCAGACTGCAGCTCAACTACAACAATCCCTCAGCTTCTCTCACAATTGTTTGGAGGCAAATCAAATAATATTTCCAGTTCCCAGTGTGCCCACTCTTGCTGGAACACTTAACTTTAGCCTGGGCAGCTTGAGTTAACACCACAGAGTCCACTAACTCCAGACCAGTGTCAAACACATAATGCTCAACACCCAGGACAGTAATACTCAAAGTGTGGTCCATGACCATCTTGCAGGTGGGCCACAGGCTCCTCCCCTGCAGTGGTGGTCCAGTCCCACAGTCTTCCTTGAGAGGTTGGAGTGCCAGCACCGGCTTCCCACTTTGCAGGGTGGAGGAGAACCTCCCAGGCCAGATCTGGCTTGTGAAGGAAGTGGCTCCACATTCTGCCACTCGGTGTTCCCTCTAGCCAGGGAAACAGCAGTGCAGGAAACAGCTCACCTGGAAGCTTTCCCTGCTGCTCCCATTGACTGGAATCACAACCAATTGAAGCAGTGGGGGCATGAAGCCAGGTAAACACTAAGGATGTTAAATATCCTGTAATTGAACAGTCGTGTAAACACATGAAATCTTATCATTACATGACTGACTAGTCGATAGTCCCCGGGGCCAGGGCTGGCAGCCAGTATATTCCAAGGAGCCTCCTGCCAGCCTCTGATAGACAGCAATGCAGGGTGGCAGGCAGGAGCTAGAAGCACAGAAGGGAGAGTGGGTAGCAGGTGGCACCGGGGAGCTGGTGCTGGGGAAGGGGGGGAAATGGGATTTTAAGGAAGCAACAAGGGGGGGGGGACAGGTAGGTCCATGGAGCTGACACACGCAGGGAGCCTGCTTGAAAGCGGGGTCCTCGCAAGTATCAGCCCCAGCCTAGCCCCTTCGGGCCGCTGCCTCCATCAGAAGTGGGGGCGGCAGACGGGTCCAGGGCTCTGGCCCGCACAGGGACAGGGCTGCGAGGGAAGGGGAAGCGCCTGAAAGGAGACGCCGGCCTGGCACGGGCGCTCCCACGGGACTTTAGGAGAGAAGCGTCAGGCCCCGGATTCTTAGACACTTTCCCAGGCAGCCCCCCGCCCCATGCGCGCCCTTCCCCTCAGGGCTGCCCGGCTCCAGTCGCCTCAGCACCCCCGTCTCCCGCGCATTGCCAGCGCCGGGCCCCGGCCGAGCTACGGACCGCGAGACTCCTGGT